AATAAATAATATAGGTCAGAATTATTTAAAATGGTCTAAACCGTGCTTTTTAATTAAATCTGTTGCAGAGTAAACAAACTGAACCCCAATCTACATGTAATCAGTGACAAACAATCATGTGATATTATTATCCGTCTTTTTTATTGCCTGTCTTCAGTTTAGATGGAGCTAATCAAACTCAGACTCTAGGTTTAAGTGCATATTTTGGTACTAAATGAACCCACTTCACTAATTACATACCATTGCTAGAGATGACCCTGACAGTAATTAGTCTTGGTTGAGTGTCACTTCCTTACTCTGCCTGGAGAGCAAGAACAGTTGTTTATCATCATAGAAGTGATTAGTGTGGATACAATATATATTTTATTGCAATTTGCAATTAACTTTTTTCAGGTAAATTGTTTGTACTGTAATGTACTGTCACCTCTACTGTAGTACAATACCATGTTTACTGTAAATATTGCTACAAATTACTTAGCACCAATAGTATCATTCCTTACCCTGAGAGTTGTGTCGAGGTCATATCCGTCTCTAAATGAGATAGACTAGTTACATTGCTGTAATTAGTACAGGCAGTCACTACTGAAAGGTCAGAAAGCCCTTATAATCTGCCCTGGACATCCCCGTGGGATAATCAGGACGTTCATGAGCTGAGCAGAGCTTCATTTCCTTGAGTGCCTTTCCCGTCATTATGACATGATGTCATCACCAGTGGACTCACAATGCACCTTTGTAGTCAACTGGCTTTGCTAGTATTAACGCGATTTGGAAGGCAAATTGTCCTGGCGTAAACCCCAGGAAAATCTGTGCTAGGACAGGCGGAGTTAGCGTTCCACATTCATAATAATGTTAATAACCACCAGTATAAACTCATAGACGACCCTTCTAAAAGGAGAAATATACTGTATGTTATGTTGTGGAGTCACATCAAGGTTTTTAACCAAAAGGACATACTTGGTAGATCAGATCTGCTAATAATCCTATCTCAGTTTTTAACTGTTGTTTTGTGAAGTCTGTTGTTGATGAGGTTATTTTGTGTTTTCATAATATAATTGCCTATAATTTGACCATTTCGGGAAGCACTGGAATGTGTTGGGTCAAGGTAGATTATCTCCATTTTAAGGATTAGGTTTAAATCTTGGTCAATGGAGGTCAGTGTAACAAGCTTTCAGCAGTTTTAGAACTTAGTGCTAAAATGGTTAATCTATGCTGACCAGCTACATTTTCAATCAACAGCCTCAGGGGGGAACTTTAGAAAAAGAACTGTATTCTTCCAGCCACCATGGACACTTTTTTCCGACGGCATTTTAAGAGGAAGGAAGCAGGAGAAGCCATTCATGATGGCCACGTACCTGAACCCTGTCTACACAGGAGGCCAAGCATTGCAGTGCCAGCCAGCCGTGCCCGTCGACGCTCCAGTGTAGGTCTTCCGTCCACTGCGTTGACCCAGCGACGCCGATCCAGTGTCCAACTTCAGGCTTTACCTCGAATCATTAGCAGTCAACCGGTTCAGAAAAGCAGTGGTAGACGGCGCTCCAGCACCACCACCCCGAAGGCCAATCCTCGCTTTGCCATACGCCGGAAGAAGGTGGGCAAGCTCCGCAATATAGACACACACCTCTTGGGCCCGTCCATGCTGCTGGCCAGCTTAATTCAGATGACGGAAGAGGAGGAAGAGGATGAGGAGAGCCAAAGTCCATTGCCAGGGCAAGTGGAACTCAAGGGAAGCAACACGAAGTTCAGGAGTCACACAGATGTGCTTCTTTCAGAAGGTGACAGCGACAGTGACAGCGAGGACTCCAGCGGCCACTCAGAGAAGAGTCATCACTCGGGGCTGCGTAAGGAGTTCCTAGAGGAAGCAGATTTGTCAGACTGGGAGATCAAAGAGTCTGCTGTTTTATGCCAGCAGGAATGCCTTCCTCTGGCTGTGGTGACAGAGTGTGTCCAGGCCCACCCGCTGATCCGCGTTCCCCGCTGCCTCCGGAGGAACTCGTCACATTATGGCTACGCGGAGCCCGGCTCGCACGTCCGCTACTGCCGCAGCAGCCAGAAGAGGCGCCGTCGACGGGTCTCCACCATCTCGAAAGCGGGAAGCCCCTGGCCAGGAAGAGGCCTGCCGCTTCCTAACCGAAGAAGCTCTACCTGCTACAGGGGTCATGCGACTCTCAATCCTCTCCTGGGAGCTTATTACGATCCCAGGCTGGAGTCTTGGAGTGGATTCTTGTCGTATGTAGAACCTTTCTGTTGTTGTTTCTAGTTATTTCATGCTGTGCTCTTAAATTAGATGTATACAGGGTTTCATGAAATGCAAGAACAACAACACAAAGGCTGCGTCAGAAAGCATAGACAGTTGACTTGTTGCTTTGCTGCCCTATCAGTCAATGATTTGCAGGCAGCATTTGCGTTCGAAGGTAACTCCCAAAACTGATAGTGGACTTACTTCTGAGGCAGCATAAAGGTTTAATGATCTACAACAAAACTGTGATAGAATCGCACACATAGGATAGGGGCAGCAAACGATATATCTATGCAACCCTCAAAAATCGATCAGATGACATTAACTCAATTATAGTACTCAGATTTGCATTCTTGCCTTCCTACCTCAGCACAGGTACAAAGCTGCGGCCATACCCTAAGGTGCAAAAGCTAAAAGGTACATTATACCATATTTACACCTCAATGGTACATATTAGTACTTTTTGAAAGCTTACTTCCCCAGTGACAGTTTTGTACCTTTTTTTTCTGAGAGTGTATGCTACTTGCGTAGGTAGCATTTTCTGCTTTCGGATGCAGCCAAAGAAACTAATTATGACCTAGGCCAAGGTTCCTTAAATCTGGCCAGTGCCCTATAGGGTTTAGCTCCAACTCTAATCAAAGACATCGGAGTAAGCTAATCAAGGTCTTCAGTGTTACTTGAAAAATTACAGGTAGATGATCAGGGCTTAAGATTTCAGATTTGAGGAACCCTGACCAAGGCTTTGCTGAGGTGCACAATGAGAAGACAATTAATATTTGTCAAAGTCAATTTCTTTAGGCTTGTAGCATTAAAGGTGCATTCACATTGACAACTATATTACTGGAGGTCACCAAGTTGCTTGATAGTTGCTGCATCACGTCATTGCACAACTACATGAAGCTGACCTCTGCTTAAATTTATTTTCGCACTCTTGATGAAGATGAATGTTGTCCAACCACTTTGCCGCTGCAAATTGCTGTCAGTATGAACTTCCCTAAATAGTTTATATTTTAGTGAAGACCAAATAAATACACCACAATGTACAGGTTTTCTGATTAGGTACTATGACTTGCAATACATGTGAATCTCCACTTACAAACTCAGCACTTTCAAGTCAATATCTTAAGTAATTTCTCAAGCATTCAAACATTTATATTGAATGCGAGAGCAGGCAGTTGCAATGCAGCTTTTCATTGCATTGACCTTCTCATTCTCCATCCCGTGGATACGAGCACCATGGCGATCGCTCATTAGTGCAGCTGCTACCATAGCGAGGTAATGTGACTCATCAACGTTACTGATCACCCAGTGGGCTTCTCATCAACAGGTTGCTAAGCTTCACTGATTCACTCTGTAGGGATTAGGACACAAAGGTCAGGGTGAGCAAGGTTTTGATTACAAAAGGATTACAAAAAACCTTGGAAATGCCCCACCCAAAGCTAAAGGTAATATTTACCTTTAGAAATGCATTTCCTGTGTTTTCATTGCATAAACTTCATTGACCACTTTCTTGTCATAGCCATAATTGCATCAGAGTTCCTGTATAAGGAGAGGTTATCTGTTTCTGCACATGTCTATTGTGTTAACATTTAGTATGAACGTTGATGTACAGATGGCACACTCGATTCTATATAGATGTGTATAAAATAAAGTTACATTAAAGAAAGTTACATAAAAGTTGTTTAGTATAAATTTCAGTGCTGTATCTTCCAAATTTGGTGAGCTAAATGACATAGGCTAATCATCAGGTATCCACAGTGTATTGTGGTAGTACTGAAAGCAGATTAAAAGCAGAAAAACCTATATGTTTCCAAGCCATGCTATATAATTCTAGTTGTTGGTGGCTAGTAAAAATAGTCTTATTATGATTGATATGGAATTAAACAAATGCAATTCAAAGAGACCCCCAAGGCACTCCAGGTGGAAAGCTGTGTGAAATAAGATGCCATGCTTTCAGGGGAAAATTTTCATAATTGTATTTCTTTTGATCAGTGTTCTAAATCTAATTGATTTAGGATATGATGGACACAGACAGTCTGTTTAATGTCACTGTCATTGTTTTTGTCAGGAAAGCCATTGCCAAGGCTGGTGTGCAGGATAACGCTGCCCAATCCGGTGCCATAATACCGGCCAAATGTGAACCCAACAAAGAGATCTGCAGCACCGTGGATTGGACTGTGAGTTTCTCATTTGTATTTCAATAAACAAGTTAGCATTCCAACTGTTTCATTTATCTCAATGGCAGTAAACTCCAACTCATGACACAGTAATCCATATTAATTTCTGTAATTTCTGTTTAACTTACTGGTTAGTTGTCTTCCTCAGGAAAATGCCCAGTTTGGTCAACACGTGTGGTTTGAGACCAGTCCGTCTGGAGATTTCTGTTACGTTGGAGAGACATATTGTTTTGCAAAGTCACTGGTAAATGACCCATATTTTTATTCTTAAAACGATCAACAGCACAGTGAGTAGTTTATAGTAGTGTCTTTCCTTTTGTAAAAATCATTGCACGCAAGCTCCCTCTACTGGTTAGACATTATACGCACAGATTCAGATATATTGCTAAAATGCCAATTGTTGTGTTTCATTTTGTTTTCTCAGCAAAAATCTCTTCCTCGCCACAAATGTGCATCCTGCAAAATAGCTGTTCACACTGTATGCATGGATCAGCTGGAGAAGGTTAGACGATTGTTGTAAAGCTGAAAAACTTACAATGTTTTGAACTTTTTATCTCAACAAATGAACTGTTCCCCATAGATTAACTTCAGATGTAAGCCATCATTTAAAGATCCAGGGATAAGAAATGTCCGAGAGGTAAGACTTTTTGTCCCTTAAAATGAGCTTTATCATTTAGTTTTGTTAAACAATTGAGCTGGTTTGTGTTTCAGACTCCAAACATGAGACATCACTGGGTCCATAGGAGACGGCAAGATGGAAAATGCCGGCAATGTGGAAAGGTCAGTGCAAGACTCATAAAATATGAAACGCGTAATCATCCAGAAAGTATTTATGGCCTAATTTCACTCTTTCCTCAGGGTTTCCAGCAGAAATTCTCCTTCCACAGTAAAGATATCGTGGCCATCAGCTGCTCTTGGTGTAAGCAAGCAGTAAGTATTGCACATCTGATAAAATCAGTTTTTTAAAAATGGTTGCAACGTACACTACCGTTCAAAAGTTTGGAGAAATGAATGCTTTTATTCAGCAAGAGTGCATTCAATTGATCAAAAGACACAGTAAAGACTTTTTCTTTGTTACAAATCAGAAATGTCAAAAACCTTCATCATGTTTTTTTTTACATAAATATCAAGCAACCCAACTGTTTTCAGCATATTAGAATGATTTCTGATCGTGACTCTGAAGATAATGGCTGCTGAACCTTTAGTTTAGCTATTTCAGGAATAAATTAAATTTTAAAATATATTAAAATAGAAAAAGCTTTTTAAAATTATAATAGTATTTCACACCCTTACTGTTTTTACTGTATTCTTTCAAAAACTACCCAACACGTTTGAGTGGAAGTAGTGCATAAAATGTTCAAATTTTCAAGTATGATAAAATATAAATCAATGCACTTTGCTATGTGTCTTACAGTATCACAACAAGGTGACCTGCTTCATGCTGCAGAAAATTGAAGAGACATGTTCCCTCGGCGCTCACGCGGCTGTGATCATCCCTCCAACCTGGATCATTAGAGTCCGCAGACAGCAGGTACCATCTGACCTGAAGAAAACGGTTATATTTACTGTATTTTTGAACAAATAGACATTCAAAAATCTTACCAACTTAAAACCTTTGAATGTATATCTTATAGATATATACAGAGTTCTGGCATGAAACTCTAGATGGCGCAGTCCGATAGGTCTAACTCAATCTGACCTAATGACATCATTATCATGTGGCTCAGCTGATTGGTTCTCTCCTGTATCGGTAGCCAATGAGCTGACTGCTCAACATTTAAATATATGACTAGTGCTTGCCGTAGCAGTGCAGCTTGCTTCAGAAACCCTCCCCCTTCACCAGCTCCATCTGTATAGATCTGCTACGAGGTGATTCATGTATGCTATATTTCATGCACTGTATGTTATATTTGCAGCAGCAATATTTCTTACATGCTCACAGCAGCATGTTGTGGATGTATTGGCAGTAGCAAGTCTCGGTACTTGCTCTGCCACAGCAGCAGCAGCGTAGCAGATCTATTCCGCCAAGACCAAATACATTAAAATTGTCATGTACATTACCATGGCGATCCCTCCGAGAGTTGTCATGACAGAAATATTAATATTTTCCAAATGTATTTCTAAAGTACTAATAGTGATGTAATTTTATGATGTAGTGTTTTATGGTTTGGACATGGTGAAAGGAGGTCACCTGCATCGATGAGCTCAAATGTAAACACTAAAATTAGTATGTCTATAAAGATGCCTATAAACTGTCCCTATTATACAGGCATCATTGAAGAGCAGTAAAAGAAAGAAGAAAACATCTCTGAAGGCCAAACCCTGCAAGAAAGCCACAGAGGTAGCAAACACTGAACTTTTGTGAATAAAAGGGATAGGCTTTTATATATGACAAGATTTCACTATTTCATTCTCTGCAGGATGGCAAATGGAAGCACTTTGTTGTGCGACCGATTCCTTCTCAGCTCATGAAGCCTCTGCTGGTGTTTGTCAATCCGAAGAGTGGCGGAAACCAGGTCAGAAGTGACACTCAAAAGTTCCTAGTGCATAGAAACGTTATTTTACAGCCACATAATAGCACTTCAAGCACTTCAATAGGGAAGTTGTGGCCTAATGGTTAGAGAGTCGGACTCGTAACCCAAAGGTTGTGGGTTCGAGTCTCGTACCGGCAGGGATTGTAGGTGGGGAGAGTGAATGTACAGCGCTCTCTCCCACCTTCAATACCACGACTGAGGTGCCCTTGAGCAAGACACCGAACCCCCAACTGCTCCCCGGGCGCCGCAGCATAAATGGCTGCCCACTGCTCCGGGTGTGTGGATGACTTCTTCTTCTTTTCTTTAAAGGGAACGAAAATCATCCGCTCTTTCATGTGGTACCTGAACCCCCGGCAAGTGTTCGACCTCACTCAGGGAGGTCCGAGAGAGGGGTAAGAGTTGAGAGGTCATACTTTCTTTCTTTCTTCTCTTTGAGCGTGTTCTCTTACACTTTCTCTTCCTCTTTTTAAGGTTAGAAATGTACAGCAAAGTGCCCAACCTGCGTATCCTCGTTTGTGGCGGTGACGGAACGGTTAGTCAAATATCTGCACTCTTATCTAGATAAAACCGGATGGTGGGTAATATCATTTCTGCACAGTATGCAAATTTTCCAACGGTGCATTGTGCTCGACATGCTCGACAGGTACTTGAAACTGATTCAGTCAAGTCAAGGTCAAATTTAAATGTATTAGGTATAACACCACTACTAAAATAACGCTGACTGATCCGAGCCAATCTCTCAGATATTGAATGTAAATGAATTTCATCATGCTGACCCTCGGTCAGGAAGTTCATAGGGACCATCATGTAATCTATATGCTCTGCTTGAACAGGTTGGGTGGATTCTCTCAGTGCTAGATGAGCTCCAGTTGAACCCTCAACCCGCCGTGGCCGTGCTTCCCCTCGGGACAGGAAATGACCTGGCCAGGACTCTCAACTGGGGCGGGGTACGAACCTGAATACTCTTGTTTGTAATGTTCTAATAAACCTCAGTTAGTATATTATAAGATGAAGTTTCAGCTTCAGCTCCTGTATTTTAATATAATAACCACAAGTTTTGTTTTGCAGCATGAGGTTTGTGGTTTAAACATGTCATTTTTACTGCTGACACATTCTTAACCTGGCATAACAAGAGAAAATGGTCCCACTATTTGTTAACCATTACAAGCTTTTCATGGTTTTTTTGAAGGTGCGTGTACTTGTTGACTTTCAGGGCTACACAGATGAACCGGTGTCCAAGATCTTGTCCCATGTAGAAGACGGCAACATCGTCCAGCTGGACCGATGGAACCTGAGCGTGGAGCCCAATTTAGAGGCCAGCGAGGAGGAGAGAGACGAACACCAGACCGACAAGGTCAGCTGACGTCAGTAGAGGGTGCTAGACTTTAGCAGAAGACCACCATCCTTCTAGCTTTACAACAAGTCAAGCATGAATGAGGGTGTAAAGAGTTTTTATAAACTCTTTTGTGTTGACATGAATGGTTAGGGGGAGCTAATGACATCTCCATGTCTATTTCAGCTTCCCATTGACGTCTTCAACAATTACTTCAGCCTTGGATTTGATGCACACGTGACCTTGGAGTTTCACGAATCCCGAGGTGTGCTCACTCACTCGTGTAATTTGAATTTGGTTTATGAAGTGAAGGTTTGCATACTACTGCATATAAAATCTGCGGTTTGTGAAAAGATTCAAATTTCTAAGATGTTGTTTTGTTTCCTCAGAGGCTAAACCAGAGCGGTTCAATAGTCGACTTCGCAATAAGATGTTTTATGCAGGGGTGAGTGTGTCTGTCCGATAAAGTCATGTAGATATTTTAGTTTATTCTTTTTGTAATGTATAAAATGTAACATATTTGTTCAAATACATGTGCCCCTCTGCAGACAGCCTTCTCAGACTTTTTGATGGGCAGCTCCAAAGATCTGTCCAAACACATCAGGGTTGTGGTACGTTAAGTTGTATATATGTATATACACACTTTTTATATAATATGACCCAAGGTATTTGAAACTGGAAATATAATTAATTATTATTTTATTTTATATAAAGAAGTTAATTAAAAAGAAGACTTACAAATCATGCATGTGTACTGTATATATACATTAATAAATAATAATAATTAAACATTAAATAAAATAATGCATATGTAATTTATCAGAAACATTTTACATTTCAGAAAAGCAGAATATATATTTATAAATATATATATATATATACTGTATGTATGTATCACTTAAACCACACATAAATAAAGTAATTACTATTGATTACTGTCATAAAAATTAAAACAAAACTTCACCAGATTAAGTGCTTATGATCACAGTAAATAAATATGCATATATACAAGCACTTTTATATAATGGCACAAATACTTACAATGTTCCCTCATATGCTTTTTCTTATTTCCTGTGCAGTGTGATGGTACTGATCTAACTAGTAAAGTGCAGGATATGAAACTGCAGTGCCTCCTGTTCCTCAACATCCCCAGGTAAAACTGACCTGAAATGGAACTGTGCAAAACAAATGTCTTATGTAACTACCATATAAGATAACCTATGTACATTCTTGTATTAATTTGTGCACTATTTGATATAGATCCTCTTTATTTTTGCATAACAAAATTTAATTTGAGAAAAAACTAAACTTCACTCTAGTTGCCAGTCAGACCATTTCATCCATGTGACATCAAATTTCACGTCATCAAACCATGACAGGAAACTTGGACTGAAAACCATATTATAAAAAGAGATTCGCTGTTCCAAATTATGTTTAATCCAGGATAAAATATAATCTAGACACAAGAAACTAGTCTAGAGTTCATTAAAATGAGATTATCCTGACTGAGCTGGGCATTATGTTCTGTAGATATTGCGCTGGTACGATGCCATGGGGGAACCCAAGTGAGCACAATGACTTTGGGTCACAGAAACATGACGACGGGCTCATTGAGGTTATTGGCTTCACCATGACCTCTCTGGTGAGATTTGGCTTTGGTTCCTTAATGGATTTGGTCTACATTTACCCTTGAATCCATCCAAATGTTGCTGCTCTCTTTCTATAGGCGACGCTGCAGGTTGGAGGACATGGCGAGAGGCTTCATCAGTGTCAGGAGGTGACCCTGATAACCTTTAAGCCCATTCCTGTGCAGGTGGATGGAGAACCCTGTAGACTGGCTCCATCCGTCATACGCATCACCCTCAGGAACCAGGCCAACATGCTGCAGAAGACCAAGAGAAGAATCTCTCTACCACAACTGTATGAGTCAGTATCTATCTATCTATCTGTCTGTCTTGTCTGTCTGTCTATGTCTGTCTGTCTGTCTGTCTGTCTATGTCTGTCTATGTCTGTCTGTCTGTCTGTCTATGTCTGTCTGTCTATGTCTATCTGTCTGTCTGTCTATGTCTGTCTATGTCTGTCTGTCTATCTATCCATCTCTGTCTGTCTATCTGTCTGTCTATCTATCTATCTATCTATCTATCTATCTATCTATCTATCTATCTATCTATCTATCTATCTGTCTATCTGTCTGTCTGTCTGTCTGTCTGTCTGTCTAAATTGCATTCAATCCTAGAGGAAATCTGACAGTTTTTTCTCCTTATGGATGTAGTCAGCAGCCCATCACAGAGAAAGTGCAGATCCAGGTGAACCGTATCAGCATGTGTGATTATGAAGCTCTTCATTATGATAAGGAGCAGCTCAGGGAGGCCTGTGAGTATCTCTTCTCCTCGTCCTCTCTCTTTTTCACAGCTCTGAGAACCTGCACTCCCGGAAAAGCTTCTGCTTTTCAAATACGACTTAATTTAAACAGATCCTAACCCGTGTTTCCTCTTTTCTTTCACCTTCTCAGCGATTCCTATGGGGATAATTATAGTTCCCGGGAACAGTGATTTGGAGACGTGCCGGCTGCATATCGAGAAGCTACATGAGGTGCTTTTCAGCTTGTTGAATCCTGGTTAGAAATGTGCCAACAGGCCGATTTGGCTACAACCTCCTTCCTCATTTGCAGAGGTTAAGGGGAGGATCTGAACTGTCAAAGACTGGCTTGATGTCAACATGAAATCAGAATTGACTATTTACCTTCTTAATCAATGTTACTTGTCTTATTGTGAATGATGTTATCCCCAAAAAAGTTTGTCTTTGTAATCATTCATCAAAATACAATAACTTACTCCACCTCTAAAACAACTTTCCTTTTCAGTGACATGATCAAGCCCTTTTATTTTCAACTCCGCCCATTTGGCATGAAACACCCTTTTTAACAACCCAAACAATTTCTAGTAGATAAAATCCTGTCCTACTTGTTTTTTTCGTCGTTGTTGTTGAAAATATTGTTTCAATCATATAGAAGTCAGATAACTCTAGTAAAATGGGTTGCAATGGTGATTTTAACTCATTCTTGGCTAAATAAGAATACTTCTGTGTTAATGCAACCTCTTGGAAAGAAAATACGTTTTTCATTTAATTTAGCTCGAAATCTATTTCCTGTGGTGACATTAACATGTCTTTGAAACACAAATGGTGTATTTTACTTTTAAGAGTCACTTTCCACTATAATTGCCACTATTCATCCCAAACATGTTATATTGAGCATGTGACAGCCATTGCACGTTGACTTCCTGTTCAATTACAATCACAAAAACACATTGTGACTAATTGAACTCACACTGTGAGGCCATTTTGGACAAGAGCCATTTTTCACTTGCATTTCTCTGTGTATTTTTTCCCCCTCTCTGTCTTTCTCTCTTTAGGAGGGGGATGGTGTGAATACAGACACACTGCACATGCCAAAGCTTTCACCAAAATGGTGCTTCCTGGATTGTAAGTAGTAGAGAGTAGTAGAGCATTTCAAGTTCATTTTGAAAAAAGCAGCATAGAAGTTATCTAAAAAATTGTGTTATAATTCTATATACATAACTTAGGCTTTCTATGCTGAATAATTTTTGTGAGATTCATTGCTCTTGACATTTCCAAAACTTTGCAAACCCCATAATCAGATTTTTCCATCTTTGGATTGTTTACAGCCACTACAGCAGACCGTTTCTACAGAATAGACCGTGGTCAGGTACCTACAACAGGCAACTTTGACGTGTTACATCTGTGTTGCATGTCACACTGTGCCGATTTCATTGCGTATCTCTGCAGGAGCATCTAAACTATGTGACGGAGATCTCTCAGGATGAGCTTTTCATCTTGGACCCGGAGCTGGTCACCAAGGAGACGGTGGGCACGTCGCCCGGAATGCCGGGGGCGATGGAAACTGTTGGGGAATGTTCCAACAGCACAGACCAGTTTGCTTTTCCTGCCTGCTCTGCCGGGCCTTCTCCACTGTGCAGGTAGATTGAAACGAGTCGCTTCAGATGACAAAATGTGTGGTTAAACTGTATCAACTCATGTTGTTAGGGCTGCAAACAGCTTTTGCACAGCCTCAAGGTGCAATTTTATGTCGCTTTTTACTTTGGCAGATGATTTTAACACCGTCGACTAGCAGAGTACGTGCGTAGGCAGGTTTAGTTTCGCCTGTGGGCATGAAATGTCTGAGAATATCCCCGGAAAAACAGCAAAAGTGCACAAACCCCTCATTAAGGAACTAAAAAAATGTCTTAATTATTAATGTCTTGTTAATTTTGCCAAACCAGATATAGGTTTAGCTTGAATCCATAAGAATTATAATTTTCTTTATTATGCACAACTGATGTGAATGCACTTACAAAAAAGTACCAGAAAGTACCATGGTAATATTATGATGTTGTTTTTTGGACATGTAATATGGAAAAAGCATGGTATATGAATATGCTAATTTCCCAGTACCATGATATTACCATCGCATGGCATTACTGTAGCCCTATCACAGTACTTTTTTGTAAGTGTAGGAAGTCCCAAAATTATATACAGTAATACAATATATAGTGTGGTCTAAATGTCTGAAACCACTAGAAAAAAAATTGTCCATCAAAAAATAATTATTTGAATATACATATATAATACTTATTTATTAGAAATAAAGTTAATATTAATACAACAAACTATTATAAATATATATTTATATTAAAATTAATTATTATAATAAGTATCTTAAATTATTTAAATTTCAAAATATATTATAACATATCAAAATATATTTTATACTAAGTATTTTATGTATTAAATATATTAGCATAATAATTTAAGTAAAAATTTGAACTGGCATTATATATTTATCTTTTTTGTTACTATTAATACAATAAACTTATAAATATATAAATTAATAATTATGATAAATTAATATTAAAATGATATAAATGAAATATTTTAATTATTTAAATGTTAAAATATATTTTATTGTATCTAATTTATATTATGTATTTTATATGTACAATATTCATATAAAAATAGTAACAACATTTATTTAAATGAAAATTTTTTCCTCTTAATACACTAGAGTAGACTATTATTAAATCATTTAATTATTAAAACATTTTATTATATCTATTTTAGAATATATATATATATATATATATATATATATATATATATACGT